ATTAAAACAGGTATATATCAGGGATGCAGCCTCTCTCCACACCTATTCAATCTGTATGCTGAACAAATAATTTTAAGAAGTTGAACTTTATGAAGAAGAACGTGAAATCAGGATTGGAGAAAGACTCACCAATAACTTTCATTATGTGGATGACGCAATATTGCTTGCTGAGGGTGAGGAAGGCTTGAACCACTTGCTGCAGAAGACCAAACACTGCATCCTTCAATATGGATTGCATCTTAATATGAAGAAAACAAAAATCTCACCACTGGACCAATGGGCATCATCGTCGTGGATGAAGAAAAGATTGAAACAGTTAGCAATTTCATTTACTTGTGTCCACAATCGGCATCCTTGGTACTAGCAGCTGAGAGGTCAGAAGATATATTGCATTGGGAAAGTCGGCAATCAGAGATTTCTCTAAATTATTGAAGAGCTATGATATCAGTTTGAGGACTAAGTTGCGCCTAACTCAGTCCCTGATCTTTTCAATCACATATTTTGCATCTGAAAGCTGGACAGTGAAAAAAGATGACAGAAGAATGATTGATGCCTTTAAACTCTGGTATTAAAGAAGATCACTGAATATCTCATGGACGTCCAAAATAACAAACATATACATCCTAGAGAAAGTGCAACCACAATGCTCCTTGGAGACAAAGCTAATAAACCTTCTTCTCACATACGGTAGGCATGTTGCTAGGAGAGGCTATTCTTTGGAAGGGATATCATGCTTAGGAAGGTGGAGATATGGTGAAAGAGAGAAAGACCTTCAACCAGAATGATTATCACAGTGACTGCAGCAATGGGCTCTAGTGTGTCAGAGATTGTGAGGATATCCCAGATTTCAGATCTGTTGTTCATAGGGTCATTGTAGGCCGTACTGGACCAGAAGGCACCTAACAACAACAACCACCTGTCATTTTAAATTTTACAATTAATAAATCATTGTTAAAAAAGATTACAGTCTTTAATATGAATTACATATCAACATAAAGAAACAAAAATCTTCATAAGTAGACTGTAATGGACTGAGTTCTATCATCCAAATAGATGCATACAATAATATGATGTGAATGGTGTGTAGTAATTCCCCTAGGAAGCTTCTTGACACAAGAGAAGACCTAGACACACAGATATTTTCAAGGAACACTTGGACTATGATGCTAAATAGAACAATGATCTTTCTTTAGAAAGAGAGAGAGAGAGAGAGAGAGCTTTCCACTAAAGCTGACACCTTGAGTTTGGACTTGTAGCATTCTAAACTGTAAAAGAATAAATTTCCATTTGTTAAAGCCATTCACTTATGGTATTTCTGTTATAGCAGCAACTAAGAAATAAAAAGGTATGGCTTATGTGAGCAAACCAGTACAAAATAAAAATTTATATAAAACAAGACCTGCTTACCTTGAAAAAATCTTTTATCAAGGATATCTTTAAAGTGTTAAAGAGTAAGGATGTCAGCTTAAAGACTAAGATTCATCTGACTCAAGCCATGATATCTTTTCAACTGCTTCATAAGCATGTGGCAGCTGGACAATGAATAAGAAGACCAAAGAATTGATGTCTTTGAATTGAGGGATTAGTGATGAAGAACAAATAATCTGTTTTGAAGGAAATGCAACCAGTAAGTTCCTTAAGGGCAAGGGAGGTGAAACATTGTCTCACAAGCTTTGAGCATGTTGTCAGGGTGCTCAGTCCTTGGGAAAAGACATGCTTGGAAAAGTAGAGGATCAATGAAAGAGAGGTAGATCTTCATTGTGATCAAACATATAGTGAGGGTGGTGCATGATGGCGCAAGGTTCAGATCTGTTGTTCGTAGAGTCACCAGAATGGCACATAACGACCACTCACAGTAAAAAGGTCAGCCTTGAGCATTAACTATTAAATTAACTATTTATATTATTTATTGATATAAAATATTTTTATTTTGTATAAACTATTACATTTTCTTTTGTTGTGATGCTAAACACTGTGACACAGATGTGTCAAATGCAATAATGGTTACCCATGGCGGACAGTGTTTGGTGGAGCTTCCCGATTAAAACAAGGTTGGAAGCAGGAGTGGCATCCACTTCCAAATTAGCTTGCCTCCAGAAACTCTATGAACTTGAAGAAACAATGAAAGTTATACAAGTATTCAGGTCTTTCATTCATAGGGTTGCTATGAGTCATTTACGATTCAACAGCACTTGACAACAACAATAACAATTATATTAATTTATTTATATTATTATTTTATTATTGTGTTTGAGGAACTATTTAAATGGAATGAAATTGATAGCAAAAACTAAAAAAAAGTAGATAGGAAACTTAGAGGACAGTAAGTTATTTTCATGAAGAGAAAAGAACTCAGAAGAGTGAGACTGGTGCAAAATTCTATTTATATAGGATGTAATCAATGTCGCTAAGGGTACCTATAAACATTGTTGAATCTGTGTACATTTTATTGTGTATATTGTCAAAAGCAAAGAAATAATATTTTTAAAACTTCTTAGCCATGACTACAGCATACGCTTCTAGTAGTTTACATCTTTTCAAATATGTTTCAGTAAAAAGTTATTTTGGAATTGTTAGCCTTGAAATTTTGTCATTTTTTTAAATTAGATTTATTCTCAGGTACTTGGGTTTTAGATCCATTCAAAGGCATCTAATATACATTACATTTTCTAATTGTTCCTAGTGTATAGAAACAGAAATAGTTTTATATTTTAATTTGTATCCAGAGATTTTGCTAAATTGGTTGATTAACTGTGTTTACATGTATTCAGTTTTTGTTTTTACTTTCAGCACACCCAGTCATGTCATAAATGAATAACATATTATTTCATTTCTTATCTTTTCACCTTTTTCCTTTCTTTTTCTTGCCTTATTGCATTAGCTGGGACCTCCAGTACTTTGATATATAGACTAATGTGGTCCCATTATCTTTCTCATTGTCAGCATTAGTGGGAAAATGGCTCGATATTTCACCACCAGCACATAGCTGTCGTTTTTTTGGGTTTTGCTTTGATTGCTTGAAGGAGGTTTTGTCTTGTTGCTTGTTTTTAGAGGAGTACTAAATTAGTTCCCTTCTGTTTCTACTTTGCTAAGGTATTTGTTGTTTATTTAAATCATAAATTACTGCTTTCTGCATCTATTGGAAAAGTTTTGTGTTTATTCTCCCTCTGATTGAATTTTGGATGGTAAATCAACCGTACTAGTTAAGTCCTCCTTCCCCCCAGGACAGCTTACAAGTTCAAGTCCATTAAAATGCCCTAGTGCAAGCACCCAGGGGGGGGAAAAAAATGCCCTAGTGGATTATGTTTCGTATCACAGAGCATAAACTGTTAAGCCACCAGCAGCAGCCCGTGCACACACATTCCAGGTCTCGGGAGAGATTTACTACCTACAAAAACCAAAATAATCATAGAAGCCACGGTTTCTCGGTTGTGGAGCCAGAAGCGGTCTCCCATCTTGGCAACCAGCCTCAGCATGCGCCGGTTCCCTGGAAGTATACCTTCTTCCAGCAGACTCCAACTAGAGCGACAGAGACCAGCCAGCACTCATGACCATCAGGAATCCGCCGGGCTCGTGTCTGGGGCCCCGACTCCCATCCGTAGCGAGGCTGCTTTAAGCGACCCGCCCGCACCGTCTCTGGGGCGGGAGGCGGAGGGCGCCAAGAATGCCGCCTCCGACGGGGGCGCGCCGACCGTGCTGCGCCGGGTGGCCTCCCCCTCCCCAGTCGTCCGCTCCTGCCCCGTTGTCCCGTCCCCAACCTCGAAGGTCCATCCTCCCCGAAAAAGCTCCCCGACCCGCCACGCTCCCACCTGCTGCTCCGCCCCCGCAGAACACACGTCTGGCCCCCTCCCCACCCGGGCCGGGCCGGGCGTCGGTCGACCCCGGACCGGCCTCCACGCTCCCTGAGGCCGCGGGCGGGGGGCTGGGGCGTCGGCGTGGCCTCATCCACATGCAGGGGACGGCGCGGCGCGGCGGCCGCCAGGAGAGGACAAAGGCTGTTCCGCCGCTGGCCGCCCCGGGCCAGCTCGCCCCGCCCGCCGCCCCGGTGGCCCCAAGATGCAGCTCCCGGTCGTCTGTCCTGTGCGCCTGGCTGCGTAATCCGAGCGGCTTCCGGGCGGAGGCAGCCTCGCTCGGCTCTGCGCTCTTGCCCCCTCCCGTGCTCGCCTCTGGCGTCCTGAAGTTGGCCTGACATGTTAGAACTCCAGCAGGTGCTATGTTGGCCTGCGTCAAAGACCAGAGCTCTAGTCCGCTGAACCCTTCCCGGATCTGTGCTCTGCTGCCTGCAGGGAGCACTTCTCTCCAGGCGCAGACGGAAGGCAGTGGAATCAGAAGAGTCCTCTCCAGTGCGCCCCCAAATACCTTAAGTCCTGCCTGGATGAGTGCTAGAAGCTCCACTCCTATTTCCCAGGCCTTTCATTGTCTCCCCGTGACTCTTAAGAGGGGTCCATAGGAACAGCTCCCTGCTCTCCCCTCCCACAAGGTACCTCACCTGGCCATCCTTGCCTGGAGGCCAGGGAGGAATCATTGACATGTTGGCCCGACCACTCGCGTCCTTGTTACTTGTCTTTTGACCTCAGCCTCCACCTGCAGAATGCATCCAATAGGACCCCACCCCCACTCCCACTCTCAGGGTTCCTCGTAGGATGTAAGATATATCCAAGTGTATTCCCATGCCCAGCTCTTCTCAGTGCCAGCTTCGTCTCCTTCTTGAGGGCAAATAGTCTTGTCTTTGGGCTCTACTGAACTCCATCCCAGCTCCTCACCCCGCGAAATAATGGATCTGTGCTATGGAGCCTCTTCCTTCGATCAACTCAAATAGGAAGTTCCTCCTAAATCTGTCCCAAGATCTCTCCTTCCTGCCTCGGGAAGCGGTGAGTGGTGGGTGGGAGAGTGGGGCAAGGTGGGGAGTTCCCTTTAAGGGAGGTGGGGGAGGGGGCTGCCGGCCAAGCCTCCTTCCGCCCCTCCGGGGGGCCCCCCCGCTGCCCAGGGCCCGGGTCCCGGGCCCCGCGCCAGCGCATGCGCCCGCCTGTGGGCGCTGTCCCGGCTGTAAGGGCCGTGCGCGCACGGACAGACAGACGGACGGACGGACTGGCGGCCGGCCGGACGACGGGGCAGCGCAGGGAGCGGGGACGCGGAGGGACAGCGACATGGCTGGCCACACGCAGCAGCCGAGAGGGCGTGGGAACTCCATCCCTGCGCCCTCGCCCTCCCCAGGCCCGGGTCCTGGACCCGGTGCCTCTGAGCGGGTGGCGCTCAAGAAGGAGATTGGGCTGGTGAGCGCCTGCACCATCATCATCGGTGAGCGGGGCCCGAGGGGGGGGGGGGGGGGGGGTGCCAGGGACAGCGGGGCCAAGGCTGGAGGTCCTACAGCGACTCAGGAAGCTCCTGCCTGGTTGGCGCAGGTGGACGCAGGAGCACCTGCAGCGTCTCCCCTCAAAGCGCCCCAGAGCTTCTGTTCCCTCCCACTCCCTTCGCCCTGCCTTCACTTGGCTGTGGGACTTTGGCAAGTCAAGTATTCTCAGGTGGCCATGAGATGGACATGACTGTGACCTTTCCTAGAGAACCGAGCCTTGTGAGTATTGTAGGTCTGGGCAGGCAAGTCTCTGCTGAAGTTCTGGACGGTCACCAACCTGTGTGGAGCCTTGCTGCTATGTGGCTCAGTCATTTCTCCACTCAGAGAGGAGCTGCTGCTATAGGTTCACTACTGGAGGGGTAGAGTCAGAGGACAGGGAAGTGAGCGGGGGCAAGCAGTCACTGCAGAGATTGGCAGTAGGATGCAAAGGGAGGGGGACAAAGCAGCCAGTGACTGGGGAGACCAGTGCTGGGCTGAACTGACCAAGCCAGCCTGAAGGTCAAGAGATCTCCCAACGCAAGCCTCTAGCTCTCTGGCTCAGTTTCTGCATCTGTAAGTGGATTCCAGGATCCTGTTCCTGGCTGTAGTGGGTACAAGGCTCAGGCACAGAATGGTAGTTAGATTTTTTTTTCCCTTTTCTTTCTTTCTCTCTCTTTCCCGTTATGAACGCTGACTCCTTGAGAACAGGCCTAAGCTACATAGGTCCCTGTGTCCCCTACGCCCTCTCAGGCCTTGTTCTGTGGCCTGTATCCTCGGAGATGGATGACTGGGAGTTCTGATCTTTCTCAACTTACTGCCTGTCCAACTTTCCCCATCCACAGCCAATGGGAGCTACTTGTGTGTCCTCCACACACTGAGCCACCCTCAGACCCCTGGACATAGAGCAAGCTCAGAGACTACACTGTTTCCTGTCTATCCTTACACTTGAGCTCCAAAGCCAGGGTAGGACTGGCCCATGGCCACTCACATACACACGGAGAGTTAGTTGCCCCTGAACTCATTCCATAGGCAGGTAGTTTTAGTGTCTCATATACTTGTCCCTAAAGTGGTATCTCCTAAGAGCTTGTCCTGATCCAATGTCCCTTACTTGAGGGACCTCCCCTAACTTGGCCGAAATTGGTTGGAAATTTTCCCTGACTCTTAACCCTTCCAAGGAGATCCCCAGCCCCAGAAAGAGGAAACACACATGTTGTGGATAGACTGTGGCACTGAGATGGTGGCCATGTCTGGAGCCAAGTTCAAGGCTACTTATACGTGGGAAGAGACACAGGTCTCCCTGGGCTGCTCCCATAAGTCCAAGAGTCCTTGAACTCTTTCCCAAATCCCACCTACTTCAGGTCAGGGCAGAGGCCACTCAAACCCTCTGAAAAGGTGCCACAGTGGTGTAGAGGGAAGACCCTTCTCAAGGGCAGACCCTGTAGAAATGTTCCCATGCCCCTGGTCTTCCCTTACAGCTCTGCCTCCTTCAGTCCATACTTGTTCATCTAAGTTCCCCTCCTGCTCCATAGCCCTTAGACCTTGAAGGCTGAGACAACTTGCCAAGGGCCCTGCATCCAGGACCAGAACCCCCAGCACTGGCACTTCAGGCGGGATGTCCCATGACCCTGTCTTGAGGACTTTTAGAGGATTACAACAGGGTAGGAGGCTGAAGTGAGCAGGAGGCAGGCAGGCAGTGACGTGACCTAAACTAAAAGGTGATGGGATGAGAGCAAAAGAGATTGTGAGCCGAAAGCAGGTTGAGGGCCGCAGCGCCTCCACCACCTGATTTCCGAGAATTACACAGCCTCCTGTTCCATACACTCACCCTGTTTGCCACCCATTAGCTAACTTTATCTCCAGAACATCCAAACAGAGCCCCTCGGAGATCTCATCCAGGCTGAGGTCTGAGGGTTGTAGCAGCGCTGAGAGCAGCAGTGAGACTCCACCTAAAGCAAGCTTAGGACAGGACCCCAGGCTGCTACCCCGAGCCACTGGAAAGGCCAAGGCCAAGCGGAGAAAGCAGGCTCAGCCAGACACTCAGAGGACGACTTCACATCCACATTCCGTTCATGACAACTGTGTTACATTAGGCACTCGTGTGTCTCCACTCTGCACAATGAGATTGTTTCTATGCGCTTTACAGCTATAGGAACAGGGATTTGGCATTAAAGTGAGACTGCTGTGATTGGTGGGTGTTGGATCTGAGGGTCCATACCCACTATGGACAAACAGACAGTGACATGCCCCAATGGGGCTCGGCTGATGCATACAATGGGGCTCTCTCATCGGATGCATGCCCAGCTCCCAGCAGGGTGGGGGTTATACCTCATCGACTCACTTGGCTTGTCCTTCGTCCAGTCTTTGCATTTGTATCTAGCTCAGCCAGGTGTTTGTGGACTGGACTCACCTATGCTCAGGGACTCACAGGCCTGGATCATGAGTCTCCCCAGAAACCAATATCTGCTCATGCAGCCTTGGCCAGTTCTCAGAGGATGGGCTCCTCACTATGATCCAGGGAGATACAACCTCACATAGGGGCTTACACATATGTCACCATAGACCCAATCTGCAGGTGAAGAAATTGAGGGCCCAAGGCTACAACCAGACCCGTCAGGTGCCCTTGGTGTGCTCTTGAGGGACAACTTCTAGGGCCATAGCAGCATGAGCTATAAGCACATTCATTCATCTATTTAACTAATATTTATTGAGCCTTTAGTAGATGCCTGGCACTGTCCTAGGTGCTGGAGAGAATAGGGATCAAAACAGGCAGAACCCCTGTCCTCCTGGAGCTGCCATTCCAGGGTAGGGGTCGAACAGCAAGCACGACAACTACACCAAACGCATTGTAAAGAGGGTAGTAAGTATTAAAGTGAGAAAAAGAAGTCAAGGAGAAGGATATAAAGTATTGGCGATGGTAGCAGCTTGTGGGGGAGCCTTGCAGGCCCCAGTAAGGACTTTACTTTGTTCTCTGTGTAGAATGGAAACTCTGGGAGGGTTTTGAGCAGCAGAGGGATGGGACGGGATGGGATATTATTACTTGGGTGTTAACAGGCTCATTCTGGAAATGTGGCTGTTGGGAGCCAGCTCAGAATGAGGACTTAAAAATGATGGTGGCTCAGGCCAGGGTGGAAGCAGTGCAGGAGCTAAGAGGGGGCTCAGATCTGGATGTATTTGGAAGGTAAGTCAGTGGATTTTGCTGATGCTTTGAATAGGGGCTTAGATGAAGAGAAATGGGATGGTTTGGGCCTGAGCAGCTGGGAGGATGGTTTGCTAGGTATTATGATGGTTAGGAAGCAACTGTGAGAGGAACCAGGTTGGGGAGGTGGTGGTAGCCTTGACTGAGCTCACTTTGAAGGTGGTGAGCTTGAGTTGAGATGCCTATTTGTTCAGTAGTTCGTAGGGTATAAGGAAGCCCTGGTGGCCTGTGGTAAGGAGTTGCTCTGCCAACCCAAAAGCATGCTGTTTGAATCTACCAGCTGCTCTATGGGAGACAGATGGGCAATTTCCTCCCATGCGATGTACTACCTCTGAAAACCTGGTGGAGGGTCAGCTGTGGGTCAGCTCCGACTCAACAGTACATAAGATAACAACATAACACCATTGGGTATAAGGAACTCGAGTGGTGTAGCAGTTAACTACTCAGCTGTTGAAAGGTCAGAGGTTCAAACCCACTAACTGTGGGAAAAACATGTGGCAGTATGCTCCCCCAAAGGCTTATAACCTAGGAAATCCTATGTGCCCCCAAAGATTTATAACATAAGAAGTTCTATTCTGTCCTGTTGTTGTTAGGTGCTGTCGAGTCGAGTATGACTCATAGTGACTCAATGAACAACAGTTCTGCACCCTGTCCTATCCTGTGTCATTGGGCCACAATCAGTTACTGGATAGCAATGGATTTGGCTGTTTTTATTAACTGGATCCTCAGTCTGTTTCGTGGAGTAGTCCACACAAGGGGTAGAACGTTGGTTTGCCATAGATAAATCCTACTGACAGGAGACTGAACAAGTGCAGGGCATGTGTGTGTAAGGATCATGAAGAAACCTCAGGGCTGAGCCCAGTCTTGAGGGAGCAGAAAGAGTCAGCAGAGGAGTGGAGAAGGCAGAGCCCTGGGGGAGGTCACCCAGGAGAAGCGATTTGCTGGAGGCCAAATGAGAAGGGTCCACAGTGCCAAAGGCTGCTGATGGGCCATGTAAGGAGATCTGGGGCTTGGCAGCTGGATTCATCTGCCAGGAGCTCACCGTGACCTTGACAAGACTCATCCTGGAGACAGAGAGAGGGCCAAGACATGCTGGATGGGCCCTTCTGGGACTGTCCAAGCTCCACAGTACTGGGCTGGGGCAGGCAGGGCTGAACAAACCCAGCAGAGTGGGCTCTGCACTTCTGTTCCCTCCACTTCTCTTGAATGGAAATTCATTTAGGCTGGACATGCGCTCCAGGCAATTAGCACCTCCAGGCATAAATTTGAAATGGCCCCATTCTTTTCCCTGGGCTTCTGCCAAGACCTCCATGAGCACACTTGGCCTCCCAGAGGGGTGCCTGACTCATGCTCACCAGGAGGATGCTGGCGTCCAGGGGGACAGGGCTTCATCTAGGACTCTGCAGCGGCATGGGCAGGGTGGGCCATGGGCAGGGCCCTCAGGACAGGACCAGCCATGGGCAGTGTCAGCCACTGTCAGGGCCCTCGGGGCAGCGCCAGCCATAGGCAGGGCCCTCCAGCACCAGGACCCCCAGGGCAAGGCTTGCCAGCTGACTCCTATTTGTTGGAGTCACACAGGGATCAAGGAGGTGACAAGAATAGGTCCTCAGACACTAGATGAGCCATTCTAGGGTGTCTCCAAGATAGGTGATGATGATGAGATCCTTAGCTCTGGTGACCCAATGGTAAGAAGCTGCACTGCAATCCCAACCAGGTGTTGTTCCCTGGGAGGAGGGACAATCTCTTCCTGTGAGATTTACTGCCTTTGAAAACCCACTGGAGGGTCAGTTCTGACTCAACAACACACAACAAACAACCAACAAGCACTTGCCTTATGTAATCTGGGCCAAGTGCACTCCTGATGTACCCTCTATCCACACCTCCACTGTGCACCCCATTTTACAGATAAGGCTAAGAAAGGTGAAATAGCTTGTTCAAGGCCCTGCCACGTATCTGAAACTCTAATCAGTTTTGGTAGTTCTCAATGAGGAAGTACGTCTTCCCAGGACCCAAGGCCTTTTACCTGCTGATGGAAGTACAGAGCTTTTCCGCAGAGACCTCATGGTTATATTCTAGGCAGGAGGTTGTGAGAATCAATGCCCAATACAAAGGAGGGACATCTGGCCCACAGTGAAGCCCTCATCAAGCCCAGGAGCCTCAGAGTTGCCTGGGGACCCAGGAATCTCCACTGGGCCAGATGGCTGCTATGACAGAAGGAGGCCCTCTTGTAGCCATGCTCACAAAGAAAAACACATAGGATGAGGCCCATACATCCCTATTCTTTGTGGGGTTCAGACCTGCCATTGCAGCAGAACCTTTCCTCTGGGATTGCAGGATCCATCTGTGGTGGCAGAGAAAGGAATGTCTCTGGGCACCATAAGAGTGAGTCAGTGTCCTTGTTTTAAATGCTAAGGCAGGATATCAGGGAGGACTTCCTGAGAGTGGTGTTGTATCAGGGAGACCAGTGAGCTGGTAGAGACCTTCTACAGAGGGAAAACCCTGAGCAGACCAGCCTTCCAGGCCCCATGCAGATGTGTGTCAGCCAAAGGCAGAGTCAGGTTTGTCCTCTGCTGCCCCCAGCCCACTGGCCCCCAGCTAGTAAGTGGGGAAACTGAGTCCCAGAAGGTCAGCACTGACTTGGGCTCACACAACTAGCACCTTAATGTGTGTCTAGGGGGGAGAGGAAGGGGTGCTTAGCCACTGACCTGATGGAACCTCCTTACCCCCTCCCATACTGGACACCACCCATTTCCCACACACACCCACACCGTGAGCAGGTGACTTGTTCCACAGACACAACCTCCATGGTCTACTCTGCGACCTGCATGGTCTGAGGCTGCCTCCCAGAAATAGGTCACCTCGCACCGCAGCAGCCGCAGGGAACAATAGCCCTTTCTTCGTCCTCCTCCGCAGAGCCTGGTAAGCCCCATCAGGCCAAACATCTTAATGTGATAAAAACCACCCAGCGAGGGCTGAGGGAAGAGGGCGAGGGCTGGCAGGAGGAGACATGAGGGAGGCCGGCTGGTGGTGAGCACCCATCCCCTGCCCAGCCGCCACCCTTGAGGATCATGGAGCCACTGTTCCATTGGGTGGAGAGCAATGTTGAGGCATCAGAAATTGCATCTCTGCAGTCAGATACCCACTTGGGCACTTGGCAGTGTCTCTTAGCTCATCCTGTGTCCCCTGGAAGCTGCCAGGCCCTGAGTTCGTTCTCCATACCCCTTCAGACCAGGATGCTCCAAAGCCAGGATTGTCCGTGCTATCCTGAGCCTGGCACACCAGCGTTTAAAGGGGAGATTTAATCCTGAGCCCCATCCCCTACAGCACCTCATAGCTCCTGTCTTCCTCCCTTGTAATCATCCCAGAGCTTGGGGTGCCAGCCCTGTTTCCAAGCTCCACCCACCCCTTGCCCTCTGCAGCCCATCAGCCAAAGATGGGGTTTTCTGCCACTTTTAAGCCTGGATCTGGGTAACTGCTAGAGGTGGTCCAGGTCCAGAGCACCAGGCGCCAGAGGCCTGGGAGATGCCGGCTCTGTTCTCAAGCACCAGTGACCGAGTAGAGTGGTTCACCTGTAGCCTGAGGCCACATATCCAAAATAATACTGGTCCCTACCCCATCCTCTTGTTGCCGTGTGCCGTCAGTTCATCCACAATGAGTCACAGCTGACCCTCCAGTGAGTTTTCAGATGCAATGAATCGCACAAGAGATTGCTCACCTTTCCCCCTCAGAGCAGCTGGTGCCTTTGACTTGGCAGGGCAGCTTCTTACTACTAAGTTATCAGAGCTCCGCAGCCCAACCCAATAGAACTCAGAATCTGAGTCTTTCTCCGCTGGTCATGCAGTCAGTGATGTGTCCGTTTCTGACCTAGCTGTGAGGGTTGTGGTGGCTTCCCCAAAGGTGATGCCCGTGAGGTCCTGCACAGCAGTGGAGTCCCTGTGGGCAGGTGGCCTGGGCCCCTGGATGCTCCCTTCCCGAAGGCACCCAGCTCTTTCCAAGGCCACCCAGCCCCCGCTGGCTTCCAACCTCTCTGGCTTTTGGCAAATTCTGCCCCTCCAGGTCCTGAGAACAGAGGCTCTGCCTACTGGATGGAGCAGACTCAAAGGCCCTTTAGAAACCCCACAGCCCACCCAGGCCCTGAGCCCCTCAGCTGTTGAAGATGGCCTCTTTCCCTGGCAAGCAGGCTGAGGGTGCAGCTCACCTCGGGGCCAAGAGTTCCTTCCTCCTTATCTGGATGTATTTAGGGCTTCTGGGATGTGACCAGAAAACCAAGAGGAACGTTGTAGTTGTCCAGACTGGAAATCTGTGTCGGCCGGGGGTGGGGGCAGGGGGAGCACTGTGGACAAAGAGTGAATGCAGATTGGTGATCATAGCCGTGTCCTCGTCCAGCCCCGCCTGGGGGCCTGGCAGGTGGGGTGATCCTTCTCAAAGAGCCAAGCCCTGGGTCCTAGTAGGTCTGACTCTCACATATGGGGCCTGTTGAGGATTATTTCCTGGATGAGTTCTAGTCTGAATCCCGATAATACAGTCTGCTTCCTTTGCACAAATTAAGAGAGCCAACTCCTTTCAAAAGGGGGTCTCAGAACACAGTGTCCCCTGCCCTGACTCCTGGAGAGCTCAAGGCTAAATGAATACTCACAAAATCTCACACATCCTGGAACTACTTCTGGGGTTCCAAGCTCGATTTGAGTATTCCTTGTTGTTCCAGGATGCAGAGGGCATCTGCCCTTCCTAATCTTAGACACCTAAGTCAACAGGTGTCCCTCGATCTGCCTGCCCTTCAATTCCACTTGCACCTGAGCCTAAGGTGGAGGGAGCTGCCACCCCTCTGCTCCTCACAGTTCCCACTCGGAGGTCCAGGTGGGGTCTGCTTCCCCCACCCCCATCAGTGATGAGAAAATGGATCTTTCAAGTCAATTCGTTAATGACACATTGGATGCCAGGTCAATTACTCACCCATTTGTTCCATCAAGTCCCTGAGTGATACAAACCATAACATTTTTCACTGTTAATGAAAAGATTGGTGGATTGAGTCTTCCCAGAGGCTTCCTCAGAAGAAAGGCCTGGCTATCTCCTTCTGAAATATCAGCCACTGATAATCTTATAGGTATATTCTACTCTGACACATATGGGGTCATCATGAGGCAAAATCCATCTCTGGCAAATGGTTTGGTAGTTGAATCAATAAGTATTTATTGAGAGCCTGCAAGATGTCGAGGCTCTGGGGTAAATGAAAGCAGATACTACTGAGAAGGATGTAGATACTACACACAGAATCACAGCAAACTGCTGGTTTTCACATACCATCGAGTCAGAGCTGACCCACGACTGGGCCTTTAGAGGTAATACATCGCATGGGAGGAAAGTGCCCTCTTTCTTCCCTGGAGCAGCTGGTGGATTCGAACCACATACCTTTGTGTCAGCAGCACAACTCCTTCAACATCAGTAAATCACCAGAGCTCACCTGGAGAGCTTCACCTCATCAGGAACCACACGGAGATAGATGTAAACACGCCTGGAGAATGAGGGGGCCTCACACACGCTCAGTCACCCCTCACAGTTACTGTTTTATAGGTGAGGTTGGAGAGGTGAGTGGGCAGGTCCTTGCAGGAGGAGCGAGGAGAGGGCCCCAGGAATCTTTACCCCCACTCATGATTTTCCTGTGTTCCTAGGGTTGCAAAGCGTGACCCCAGTTTGCTTCCAGTGAGCTACCCCTAGGGAGGAGGGCAGCCATCTGTGTCCAGGCCCTAGACCAAGTCAAAAGTCCTGATCCATCCCTGAAAGTCCACTGGCTGGTCTCCTTCATCCAACTGTGCTTGCCCAAGACCTGTAACATGTTAATTGTGCTAAGCAATAATGCCCCTTTAGGATCTGTGCCCACAGCCTGAATTCTAGGTCAGAGAGGATCCCAGGAGGCATGGGGAAAGGCCCTCTGACAGGGATGGAGGAGGTAGAAGATAACTAAAGAAGGGGCAGAGCACACGCCAGGGAACCATGGAGGCTGTGAAGGAAGAGCAAGAGTCAGGGAGGACTTCATGGAGGAGGTGCTATTCCTCGAGCCACACCATAAACTTGGACTTTGGCCTATAGAAAAGTAACAGGAGAATGATATTAGGAGGCCAGCTAGAGGCTGAAGCATTAGAGGTCACAGATGGGGCAAGGAGTCAAGTCTGCACCAGGCAAGGATGCAGAGGCATGACCACCACACGGTTATGGTTCAGGCGGGTAGAAAGCTCACTTGTGCTTGCTCTGCTCTATGCTAAGTGGGGTGGAGGGACTCATAACTCAGCTTGTTTCTGGCAGGAAAGGCTGCAGGCAAAGTCTTAACCATGTTGGACTGGACAAGGTACCTTTTCTCCTGAATGGGGAAGGAGGAGTTGACGGGCTCAGAGTAGACCTTGGTGGGTCTACTTGAGGGATCTAGGGATGCTCCTCCCTAGACCCCAGGGAGAGCCCCAACTCCCTTTCTTACTGCACAGAGAAGCCTGGGCTGCTCAAGGGGATGGTGGGTCTGACCAAGCCCTGATGCCTCCATCTCTCCACTTGCAGGGAACATCATTGGCTCAGGCATCTTCATCTCGCCCAAGGGTGTCCTGGAGCATTCAGGCTCCGTGGGCCTGGCCCTCTTCGTCTGGGTCCTGGGTGGGGGCATCACTGCCCTGGGCTCTCTCTGCTATGCGGAACTGGGAGTTGCCATCCCCAAGTCTGGAGGGGACTACGCTTATGTCACAGAGATCTTTGGGGGCCTGGCCGGGTAAGTGAGGCACCAGTGGGGTAGGGGGAGACAGCTTATCCAGAACGGAGTACTCAACAGGCCCCTGGGTCTCAATTTCATCTTCTATTTCCACATCACAGGAAGGTCTTGGGGTCTTTCGAAAGGGTTGGAGAAGTTGGGCAGGATTCTAAAGACAGGTGAATGGCACCATGCCCACTCCACTCCACTGTCTACATCCTTCAGATAGAGCTCTCTCTAATCGCCACTCTTCACTCAGTGTTTAAGTGCAGGGAGACTCTTATCTGAAGCGAGTAGACAACACTAGTATCCAGGAAACAAGGGGCTAGAGGAGGTGGGATGCGTGATATTCCCATCATACACTACAAGTTGTGATTAGGTGCCGTCAAGTCGACTCATAGTGATCCTATGAACGGCAGATCTGAACCCTGTCCTATCCGGTGCCATCCTCACAATCTGACACGCTCAGCCCATTGCTGCAGTCACTGTGTCAGTCCACCTAGGGGCTCCTTTAAACATTGCTGTTGCTACGAGCCATGACTTGACTACGACTCATAGTGACCTTACCAGTAACAGACCTAAACATCCTCTGCCACCATTCTCACGATCTCTGACATTGCTGCCATCACTGTGCCAGTCAGGCCTGTTCGAGGGTCTTCCTCTCTTTCTCTGATCTCCTGCCTTGCAGCATGCTGTCCTTTTTCAAGCCCCTCCTGATAACATGCCCAAAGCCTGTGAAATGACATGTCACCAGGGGGCTCGTTAGAAACAAGTATGGAGAGAATTTGTCTACTTTGAACAGCTCTCCCTCCCATTCATTGGGAAATATTTGCTGAACACCTACTGTGTGTTAAGGGCTGAGGATGCAGTGATAAAAAGATCTGTTCTATCCTGAGGTTGCTCCTAGCAGAGTGGGGAAGCAGCTATTAAAACATGGTCAAGACCTAGAAAATCCCCACTTTGGTGGAGCAGTGTGACAAGAGCAGCTGCCAAGCAGCCAAGAGCACAGAGAACAGGGTGAATGCCTCCCAGGGAAAGTGCCCAGGAAAAACCATGTCTCACCCAGGCTGGGATGAAGGGTAGACTTTTTCCAGTCTGGCCAGGCAAGGTCAGTATGTACAGAGGCCTGGTGGCCTAGATGAGAGTGGTGTGTCTACTGCAGCTCGAGGACCAGGTCAGTTTCAAGGCAGCTGTGACTTGCTGTACCCCAGAGGAGTGATGCCAAGGGCTTGAACCAAGGTGCAGGTAGATTTCTGAGTCATCTGGGAGCCTGAGTCAGGAGATGCCATCGGCCACCTTGGCGTGGGCGAGACAGGGAATAGTGGGGGTGATGCCTGCTTTCCCATCAAGAGGCCAGAGTGGTGGCAGAGATTTCAGTGTGGGACTATGGTACATCCACACAGATACTTAGTTGGCACTTGGGTGAGGGGTCTGCAGCCTAGGGTACAAAGTTTGTTCTGAGGGCCATGGGTCAAGGTCTGTAACTGGGCGACCACAGATAGTACCCTGGCAGGGATGTGCACTTCATGGGTATGCTTGTGGGTGCCTGCTTCTAGGGAACGGTCCCAAGAAAAAGCCTTCAGCTGGGGCTGGGAGAAGGTGCAAGGGAAAAGAGGACCCAGAGCTGTGCCCCACTGACACAGAGAGGGGAACAGAGTGGGAGGGCCACCAACTGGAGTCATCTATCCAAGAGAGAAAGGTCTTCACTTCAAAGGGCAACGTGGACAGGCTTACAAGCAGGTGTTTATTTTCTCAGGGTGGAGGGAATGGTCCGAGTCTAGGGCAGGCAGGACCATGCGCTCTTTGTCTGTTCTGGGAGGGGGGATCCCCTGTTGTCTCCATGGCCGTGGCCATGAGTATTTTTTTGGCATTTCTGAGCCGTAGCCTCATGTGCCATCTTCTCCCTGTGTGACTGTATTGTTCTTCATATGACACGTCCCCTGTGCTACCACACCTGCATTGAACTGAACTCACAGCTACAGCAAAACCTGTCTCCTCACCAGGTCACAGGTGCTTTGTTTGGGGGGACACAACTCAATCTAGGACAAGATGGGTCATGCAAAGTGAAGGATAGGGCTACAGGGCAAAGGTGAGGACTGAGAGGAACCCAGTAAGGGTCACCCATGCCCCTGGCAAAGTGATCTCTACCCTCCAGTGCTGGCCCAGCCTCACAGTGCTGCCTCCAAGGGCAGACCCTCCCCATAAAGTAGAGGCAGAACTCAGGGAGCAGCTTTGGCATTACAGCTGGGACACAGGGCCCACCAGCACCTGGGCACCTTGCAGAGGTGAGGTACAGGTAGAAGGGGTTTACCTCATTCCCTTCCAGGAGCCAAGGGCCTTTACAAGGTCAAGGAGGGGGCTTTTCTCTAGTCCTTGCTCTGGCAAAGGCCTTCTTGCAGAGGGTTCACAGTCACACCTGCTGTGTGGCTGTGGGACTCAGCAGAAAACAGGCCCCGGAGCTGAGCCCCTGCCTGCCCTGCTCAGGAAGCAGCCTGCAGCCAGCCAAGGCCAGGCTGCGCTGGAAAGGCATTGAGTTCTGAGTTCTCCGACTCGAGGGCAGTGCCCTCGTCACTTAAATGTGTTTGGCCTTCTATGTTAAACTAAAGCAAACAAACAAACCCCAAAACCCACTTCAAATGGATTAACACAGAGTCAGAAAGCACTCACAGCTGACCCTCCAGTGGGTTTTCTGAGGCTCTCAGTCACACAGGAGGAAATCATCCATCTTTCTCCTGAAGAGCAATGAACTGGTCCACTCAAAGTGACAGAGGTTCTGCCTATGGGTAGTACCCATAGATGCTCCATGGACTGCGCCACCAGGGCTCCCTTCTCTGTTAAAACAGCCCTGAGATACACGAACGAAATATAATGTAAATGAAAGCTCATATAAAACACAATGTACATGCATGAAGCACAATGTATATGAAGGATAAAAATATTAATTAAAAAACAGCCCATAAATAAAGTAGTGAGACTGCTGCACGGCCACCTGTCATCCTGGCCTTGAAGCCTCCTCCTGCCATCTCGCTGGGCCTTTGGGTGCCCGTTCCAGGATGGTACCGCACTCTGCATGCGAGGGGCCGTGTGAAGAGGGTGCAGATGGCAGCTCAGAGTAAGGGCCAGCATGCTGAGGGCTTGGGATGGCTGTCCCACTCTGCATGTGGGGGGCCGGCGTGGCCGGGAGGGCGCAGCATGTTGGCACAGAGTGGGGGCCGGTGTGGCTGGGAGGGCGCAGCATGGCTGTTCCACTCGACCCTTACTCGTTCCAGCTTCCTGCTGCTCTGGAGCGCCGTGCTCATCATGTACCCCACCAGCCTGGCTGTCATCTCCATGACCTTCTCCAACTACGTGCTGCAGCCTGTCTTCCCCAACTGCATTCCCCCCGCCGCCGCCTCCCGCGTGCTCTCCATGGCCTGCCTCAGTGAGTAGCTGCCCCTGGCCCTGAGGGAAGCCAGTCGCTGGTTTTGGAGTGCCTAGCACATGGTTCTCTGCAGCCTGGGCTGACTTGGCTGGGCCTCCATGAGGGGCTCCCGGCTCAGGTGTCCCCTCCTCCTCAGTGCTCCTGACATGGGTGAACAGCTCCAGTGTGCGTTGGGCCACGCGCATCCAAGACATCTTCACTGGCGGGAAGCTGCTGGCCCTGTCGCTCATCATTGGCGTTGGCTTTGTCCAGATCTTCCAAGGTAGGGCTGGGGTGGGCGCGTGATCAGGGCTGACGAGACGCTGTTGACCCTTGACCTCTGGATCCTCAGGACACTTCGAGGAGCTGAGGCCCAGCAGCGCCTTCTCCTTCTGGATGACGCCCTCCGTGGGCCACCTGGCCCTGGCGTTCCTCCAGGGCTCCTTTGCCTTCAGTGGTTGGAACTTTCTCAACTATGTCACAGAGGAGCTGGTGGACCCTCGAAAGTGAGTGGGGTGGGGCAGGGCCCCTGGGGCCAGGGAGGCAGCCCCTCCTCACCGTTGTCCTGGGCTTAGGCTGCTACCTGAGGGTGCATGGTCTTCAGCCAGTGAGGGTCCAGCTCTCCCCAGAGAGACCACTGCCTCTGTGGTTCAGACTGGTCCTCCCTTGCCCGCAGCCTGTGTATAGGTGGGTCCCCACTGCTCCATGCACGGTATCATAGCCTCTCATGAGACCTCAGAAACACCGTGTCCTCTGGCTGTAAATGGAACCAGCTATTCACACTTGAGCTCTCGTGTTGTGTTCCATAGAGAGCTGTGCCGCTAACTTAAAGGCAGTTTGAATCCACCAGCAGTTCTGCAGGAGGAAGATGGGCAATCTCCTCCCTCAGAAACCCAAGGAAGGGCCAGCTGTGAGCGGGTTCCATCAAGGCAATGACTTGACTATTATTCACCCTTGACCTAAAAGCATACATGTGCACACACACAACATGGTCCTGCCAGGAAAGGTGGTGACACCACCATGCATGTTCAGACAGCTGAACACTGAGGGGTGCATAGGGAAGGGGTGAGGAGACCCCCCAGGAAAGGTCTCAGATCTGTAGATGGCGCCCTCCCTGAGGTCATCTTGGCTGTGAACACTTTTCCCTCTTGTTCACGTGTGTGATTTGTCCCCTGCCTCCCGCATCCACCGTTCTTCCTGCCAGCCTGTGTGTCCAGTACCCAGGGCAGGAAGCAGGCAGCAGTGCCCAGGGCCACAAGCATCAATGCTCCCCCTTTTCGGCCCCAAAGCTCTCTGCAAACAAAAGAGAAAACTCAAAGTATCTCCTTTGGCCCCTGCTTCCCCCTCGCCCCAGGCCCCCTCTCCCACCCTACAATGAGTGGACACTGACCTGCTCCACCCACCACCCACAGGAACCTACCTCGCGCCATCTTCATCTCCATCCCACTGGTAACCTTCGTGTACACCTTCACCAACGTCGCCTATTTCACTGCCATGTCCCCACAGGAACTGCTGTCCTCGAACGCAGTGGCTGTGGTGAGTGGGGCCCCGGCTGGGTCCTGCCCTGTCCTCCCAGCCCAGCCTCATGCACGGCCTTTCTTCTCCTCCCATCAGACCTTTGGGGAGAAGCTGCTGGGCTACTTTTCTTGGGTCATGCCTGTCTCTGTGGCCCTTTCCACTTTTGGAGGGATCAACGGCTACCTATTCACCTCCTCCAGGTGAAGGGGCTGGGGAGAGGGTGGGTGTGGTGAGGTGTGTGTCAGCTGGGATGGGGAACACAGCCAGGTGGCGGCCACCTGACGCTGAGGGGGTGACCTTCCCAATAACACATATTTGATCCCGACTCTGAGTAAAGAAAGCAAAATAGCAGCAAGAGATGAGGGAAAGAGCCACCCAGTGGGAGCGCTCAGCCTGTACCAGGAAGTCAAGGTGATGGATAGAGAAGCTGTGGTATATTCACACAATGGAATACTATGCTGCATTGAAAAACAAGGAACTCATGAAATATTATGCAAAATGGGTGACACTGGAGGACATTATGCTGAGTGAAGTATCTCAGTCACAAAAGGACAAATACTGCATGGTGCCACTGTTGTAAAACAGGACTGACATCAGGGTTGGGGGGAAGCCTGAGAAAGATGGGATAAATAATGTATACTGCATTGAAACAGATGAGAGAGAGAACTGTTTAAAAGGGATATATGATTAGGTATACTTGTCATGACAGGAGTCCAGAACGAAGGCAGCATAGTGGAGTGAACTTGGGGGGAGGGATTGTATAACAATGAAAGAATTTTACTTTTCAAAGAGAAGAAGGAATTGAGGAGGAAGGGGTGGGCAGGGAGAAAAGTGCAACAATGAATTTATGGAAACCCTAAGTGTCTTTAAACTTTCATTAAAATTAAAAAAGAAAAGGAAAAAAAGGGTAAAAAAAAAAAAATAAGAAGGACATCAGGCCCAGAGCAGATCTAGGGCCAGGCTCACACCTCCCCCCATGTCTGTCCCTACCCCTCAGGCTGTGCTTCTCTGGAGCCCGAGAGGGACACCTACCCAGCCTCCTGGCCATGATCCATGTTAGACACTGTACCCCTATCCCTGCGCTACTCGTCTGTGTAAGTTGGGGGACCAGGCTGGGCAGGGTTTGTTGTCAGGGTCACCCAGCAATGTTGGAGTTTCTGAGGTCATGATAGGGCATGCGGGGAGGTGCTGGGCTCACCACAGCCTGAGGGATACAGGTCCTGGGCAGCCTGCAAGAAAGGCTCTCACACCTGGCTGTCCCCCCAGTGTGGGGCTACAGCGGTCATCATGCTCGTGGGGGACACATACACCCTCATCAACTACGTCTCCTTCATCAACTACCTCTGCTATGGTGTCACCATCCTGGGCCTGCTGGTGCTGCGCTGGAGGCGACCGGCACTGCACAGGCCCATCAAGGTGAGGTTTTGGGGGCAGGGAGCAGGTGGGTAAGGACAGTGAGAGGAATCCCTGCTTGTCCCATGTGCTGGACACTGCTAGGGACTTTGCTTGCATCGCTAAATTCAACCTCATAACCAACCCATGATGCAAGCAATTGTGATACTTTCCGTGGACAGACGAGTAACATGAACCAAGGAGCGTGCTCAAGGTCATGCAAGTGTCTAGTGCCAGAGTCAGGATGCCATGAGCACATGTACGTGAGCGCGAGTGCACACACACGTGAGCTAAACGTCTGCCCATCTGTGTATAAAGCTTTGTCTTGGAGAAGTACCCGAAATGCAAAATGTAATTGAGCTTCAGCCAAGTCTCCGGCCCTCTCCTCCACACCCCATGTGGGGTTCCCAGCAGCCTCAGAGATTCAGCAGAAAGACCATTCCGTGAACTGGTTCTTGGTGGGACCAGCTGCCACCAGGAGGGGACCCAAGGGTGGAGAGGGCTCAGCAGGAGCATAGGGGGCAGGCTGAGAGGGCTTCTCCAGCTCACACTTGCTGTCACAAAGGTGAACCTGCTCATTCCGGTCGCGTACTTGGTCTTCTGGGCCTTCCTGTTGGTCTTCAGCTTCATCTCAGAGCCCATGGTCTGTGGAGTCGGAGTCATCATCATCCTCACTGGGGTGCCCGTTTTCTTCCTGGGGGCCTTCTGGAGGAGCAAACCAAAGTGTGTGCACAGAATCACTGGTGAGCGCCAACCTGAGATCTGGGAGGCAGATGGGGCCCAGTTACCCCCAGAAGTCACTTGAGATATGGCCAAAGGGTCCAGGACCCATCCTTCAGAGGGAGTGGCCCCCGACAGCTCTGCTTGAGGGAGGTACCAGTAGTGGGGTGCGACTGTCCCATGGGGCCAGGCCCTCCACTTGGCATCTGTCAACCTCCATCTCTCCATCTGTCCTCAGAGTCAATGACACGCTGGGGCCAGGAGCTGTGTTTCGTAGTCTATCCCCAGGGCCCCCCAGAGGAGGAGGAGAACCAGCCCTGCCTGCCCTCCCCACTGCCCACCTCGGCCAAGCCCTCGAAGACACAATGAGATGCTTGTGGAAACCGAAGCAGCTGTTTCTGTTTACATGTCGTTTTATTGAGGAGGCGTGTTTTTTTTTCCTTTGCAAAAACTTTTTTTTTCCCCTGGAAAAAGAGATACGGTTCTTAGACACCTGTCGTAAGAAGCCCTGAAAGATGTGGACTGGGTTCCCTGTCTTAGCACTACCTGCTAGTTTTCCCCGAAACAGTCTATAAATAAAACGGGGCTGGTGGCTTGCATGTGCCCAGGTGAGTCCCCAGTGGGCACCAACACGGCTGCAGAGGTGTGACTCGGGGGTGAAGTGCATGCAGGATCCTGGCTAGAGCAGTACTGAGGCAGGAGCTGGGGGAGGGTCTTGGCATTTGGAGAGTGTCATTTCAGGTGACACCTAGACAACAGTTACTGGGCCCTGTTCTGTCACCTGACTCTCAGGCTGGTCCTTAGCAAGACAGACACTCTGTCTCCTGGGCTGACTCCTGGGGACACCTCAGACACCAAAAGGGCAGGAAAGACTGGAAGGGGGCTCAGTCTGCGCCTATCCAAGACCCCCATTACCAGCTAGAAGTTCTGCACCCAGGGGAACCCCATGGTCCCCAGTTCAGATTTTCTTCTTATAAATGATCCCAAATGTCAGGACTCCGGAGTCTCAACCACACCTTCCCAGTTTATAGATAGGCAAACTGAGGCCCTAGACAGGATGGGCTGGATTTGGGCACTGTCGGTGCTTCCACCTCTGTCCCCTGAGACAGCAGAGAGGACTGTCTTCTGGGGGTTTCTGGGCTTCCTCCGTCCTCTGTACACATCCTCAGCCTTAGTGCCCAGAAGTCTGACCCTTCAGCCAAAGGACAAAAGGCACCAGCCTGACAAAGCTCATGTCAACATCACGGGCATGAGGAGGACACACTCCCTAGCTCAACTCCTTGGGGCCTCTGTGGGAAGGGAACTCTCAGTGCACCATGGACGAGGCACACAGCACACCTGCCCTGTCCAGTCCTCACGCCTGTTCCAGGCACTGATGGTCAGGGAAGATGTCACAAGCTGAAAGGAGAAAGTAGTGAGAAGCCATAGAGACTTCCCAGAGAGCCCTGGGCCTGCCTCTTGCTTCTCTTGAATGGATCCCCCAGTCTCCAAATCAGAGTGTTGGGGGAGAGCAGAAGTGATACCCATACGCTTGCACGGTCACCAAGAACAGCAGGTGGCTACTCCTTCCCACTGTCCTCCCTCAGACCTGCCCAACATCGCAGCCCCTCAACTCAGCCAGGCCCACTTGGGAAAGAGACCCAGCCCCTTCACAGCTTCTGGCTGGAAGCTCCCATAAAAAAGAAGGATACAAAGCAGGGTAGAAACGATTGTGTATTCCCTGGTTACAAAGCGGGGCTGTGGCGGTCACCAACATGTTCGGTGGGTCAACAGACCAGCAGGGCCTCATCGTCACTGGCCTCCAATATGGGGGAGCAGGGTGGCGTGGGGCTCCTGCAGACACCCAGTGGCTCTGGTGGGTGGGGGCCATGAGTGCTGCTGGCAGTGGGGGCCAGGGGCTGAGGGTCCTGGGCGGAGCAGGGTTCTCGAGGTACATCCACAGAGGCCTGGCTGTCCACCTGAGGATCCCGGCAGGCCTTTCGGTCCTTGTCCATGGGCCTGCACTCTGGGTCCGGCTGACCCAAAGAGGATTGTGGCCCCGACTGCCCCATCTCAGATGCATGTCCAGGGGCACTAGGGAGCCCGTCCCCAGCGGTTCCCTGGCTGCTTGTGTCCACTCGCGATGCTGGAGGCTCAAGCGCGGCCCCTGGTGCCGGGTGGAGGAGTCCGTCACCCAGTACAGTCTGTGAGGTGCGCGCTGAGGTCAGCAGCGGGATCTGGCCCCTGGGCCCCCGGGGCCGGTGGAAGAACCTGTTCCAGAGGCGGCCCAGGCGGCGGCGGGAGGGCCCGCGGCGGGACGCGTGCCGGCGCATCTGTCTCCGCATGGCCGAGCGAAGGTTCTGTAGCACCGAGGCCTGGAGAGTGGGGGTGGTGGCTGAGGGGACGGCCAGGCCAGCACAGGCCACTCAGGGACAGAGGTCAGCACCACTCGCGAGGGGCCCAACACCAACCTGTCCACCCTCCTAACCCTGGTTGACACGCTCTGGACTCTGCTCCGCCGCCTTCCACCCTGCAGTTTGGCCTGCACCCCTCCCACCATGACCCCTGACCCCTTTACCTGCCCTGTGAGTCCCGCCCCCACCCGGTGGCGCTCACCTGGGACGCGCTGTAGACTGGAAAGTCCTCCACCGGGGGGATGAGGCCCTGGGCGATGAGCTGACCGTAGGACGGGGGTGCCTCTCGACGCACAAACTCGGCCTCCAGGCGCGTCATCTGGGTCTCAAAGGCCCTGGAAGCAGTGAGCAGGGTTGCTGGGACACCCTCCCTTCTGAGTCTCCTGGGGCCTGAACAGGGGGCTCCCCATTCCTCCGCCTGGGATTCCAGGGAGGCCCAGACCCCGGTGGCTGACCGGGCCAGTTGGCAAGGCCACAGCTGCGAGCATAGGGTCTGGGGTCTCCCTCTGAGAGGAGGCGCCGGGCCCCCGCGCGGCCCACCTGTACTCCTGCGTGCGCAGCGAGTAGAGCTTGAAGGCGCAGCCCAGCGCGATGACCAGCAGCAGCCCGCAGACCAGGCTGCCGATGAGCGCGGCCGTGATGACCTTGCGGGGCACCGCCGCCAGGCAGCCGTGCTCGTCGCTCCCGTCCTGACAGTCCTCCTGGCCGTCGCAGCGCCATGTCTCAAAGATGCACAGGTTGGTGCCGCAGTGGAAGGTGCCCGGCTGGCAGGAGAAGCAGTTCTTCTCGTCGGCGCCGTCCGGGCAGCTCTTCTGGTTGTTGCAGCGGTCGGCGGGCGTGTAGCACAGGCCGCTGCCACCCTCGCACGGGTACTGGTCCGGGGGGCAGGCGGGGCAGCCCTGCTCGTCTCGGCCGCTGGCGCAATGCCACCAGCCATCACAGCGCTGCGGCTCCGAGAAGCAGCCCTGGTCCCCGGCGTCTCCCGGGTCCCCCTCGCTGCTGCTGCCGCCGCCGCACGGCTGCTCCCAGGGCAGGCAGTAGCCCTTCACCTGGTAGGTGGCGTTGAAGCCGTGGCCGGCGCTGCGGGCCCGCGCGTGGTAGGCCACGGTCAGGCGGCCCTGCGCGGCCTCCAGGCTCACGGGCCGGTGGTTGCTGCGGTAGGACAGCGTCTGCAGCAGGCGGTCCCCGCGCTCGCCTAGGCCTTCGTACACCTGCACGTAGTCGTCGTATCCCAGCCTCAGCTCCAGCTGCAGCAGCACGCGCCGCGGGTCCTGCGTGTCTACCAGCCACGTGCAGTGAAGGTCTGAGGGCCCCCGGGCTGCCCCGAACAGGTCTGGGGAGGCGAAGGAGCCGTAGAAGCTGCCCAGGCGCCGGCCACACGCCAGGTCAGGGCAGCCAGCCTCGTCCGAGCCGTCCCCGCAGTCCTGCGTGCCGTCGCAACGCCGCTCCGCCGGGAGGCAGCGCGTGGAGCGCGCCCTACTGCAGGGGAACGTGCCGCCCGGGCACAGGCTGCCTGGGGGCTCAGAGGCCGGCGCCGAGCAGTTACCCTCGTCCGAGCCGTCCCCACACTCGTCCACCGTGTTACACTGCCACGGGCCCGGCAGGCACTTGCCGTTGTCACAGCGAAATTCGTCGGTCTGGCAGGAGGCCTGGCCCAGCTTCCCTGAAGGAGAAAGGGTGTGGGGAAGGCAGGTGAGCGGACTGCAGGGCCTCCCGCCAGGAGCAGCAAGGTGGTCCCCATCCCAACTGGGTCTCTGCAGCTCCTGCAAGGCCAGGCCAATGAGGAGGCGCCACCAATGACAGATGTATGGTCAATAGATATAAACAGAGGCGGGACCAATGGAGAGGCGTGGCCAACAAAGAGGTGAGGAAGGGGGAGTGGCCTGGGGAAGAGGAGGGGCTCAAAGAAAGGGGTCCTTGACTTCTCCATTGCCACCTTAAGAGTGTGAACCTCTCTAACTCCAGGGTGGGTTCAGTTCCTCCCTTAGGCCTAAGTGACCCTCCCATTCTAGCCAAGTCTGTGACAGGGTCAATGACAGTCCAATGACCTCAAAGACTGAGGCAGTACGCCCAGTTCACTGCTCTGCCCTCCCACTGATAGGGGTGGTCAGAGAAGGCTCTGGAATGTCCCGTGGCCCAGGCTCTCCACCCCCACCCCATTCCAATCTGCCACCAGCGTCACCTCGGATGTAAGAGAGACGGAAGCCTTGGGACTGGCCAGAGCTGGAAGCATCCGAATGGAAGAAAATCCAGACGTGGTCCCGCGCAGAGATGAAGGCCGGCGGGATGGCAGAGCCGCAGAGCCGGAAGGCCTCCTGGTGTGGAGGGGCCGCTGGGCCCAGCATGAGCCAGTCCAGGGAGCACTGGTGGGACTCCTCCACGTCGAAGTTGCGGAAGCTGCAGGGGTGGAGAGAGTGGCAGGCCTGAGGGTGCAGGGCAGGGTAGGGCCCTCAGAGCCAACTGTGCACAGCATCTGTCACATCCCATGCCACTGCAGGGAAAGACCTCACCTCCTTCCTTCCACTCCCAGCAGCACACGCAGCACCCCTATCCCAAAGCCAAAGTGGAAGAGGTATCAGGGACCCCATTTATGGGCAATTTCTTCTCTTTATACTCTCCTCGAGACCCATCTCCCCCCAAACATAAACTGGGGCATGCTCACTGAAGGCAGGGCCAGGACCACAGCTGGCCTAGGCTGCAGGTAGGTGACACCTATCACCAGAGGATTGCCTGAACACCCCCTCGCACCTGCTGGTCAGCTACTACTTAACTGTGAGATGAGCAGGACACAAGGCCAACACAGAGCCCTTTCATGAACTGTCTCTTCAAAGGTTCTACCCTGTTGCCTTGATTGTCCCTTCACCAGATGGGGAAATGGAGGCATAGGGACCAGGGCAGACTCTGCTTCTACCTTAACATCTCCGTGCCTTAAGGCTATACAGTAACAGGGGCCTTCTAGATTTTAACACTTGGCAGAGATAAGGCAGATGGAATCCATGAGACCTTTGTGGTCAGCTGTCCTAACCCCCATCCAGGCTGGCTGTCCCAGCCCCTCAGGTCCACAATCCCATCACCTCGTACCATTTCCCTCTGCATGGCCCAAGGACTCCAGGCAGCCTGAGCACTCAGCTTTCTGCCAGGCTTCCTCTCTGCATCCCCTTTGGGAGTCCTGTCCTGGGCTTGTTGCCAGCCTGGGCTCAAGTCATCCCTGCAGGATGGAGAGGACATCCCTGCCACTTTGAGGCAGTTAGACCATGGCCACTGATCCCCAGGACTCTACTTCCAAGATGAGTTAACAGTGCGCACACCCAGTGAGAGAGGCTCTGGGTGAGGCAAGCTGCCATGGAAAACTATACACACACACACTCTTTCATGCATGCACACACATGCTTACATATATGCACACACATGTGCTCACACACACTGACATAAGCTGTCACACATCTGCTCACACCTATACCCTCCACACATACGTGCCTGAGTCCCCTGGTAGTACATACTCACACACATGTGCTCACACACCTGTGTTCACACATATGTGCTCTCTGTACAGGCTCAGACATCATTGGACACACACACACACACACATAGAGTTCTGCAAAGATTCCCCATAGGCACCCCAGGGTCCCCTGACCTGATGGTGATCATGTCTCCGCGGTCACCCTGGATATACCAGCTGCAGTTGGTGCCCGGTGGGTAGTTGAGGGGCCAGGCGGGGCTGTAGATGACACCACGTCGCTCTGTGTGCTGCTCCAGCTTCCCACTGCAGGCAGCTGTTGGGAGATGAGGCTGAGACATACGGCCCCACATTCTGACAGTAAGTGGAGGCCCTGGGTCCCCCTTGGCTTCAGCACAGGCCTCCCCCAGAGTGAGTTCAAAGCCAGCCACTGACAACCATGACTTAGAACTCCAAAGTTTACAGGAAGAGTGTATAAAGGCGGGCCACGGAGATCTAGCTGGACTCAGGTAGCCCCTGACCCCATGAGGTGCACCAGATCCTAGCCCCCCAATGCCCCTTGTCAATCAGTGGCTTCAAGGCGCTATCGCCTGGCCTCTGGGGCCTCAGTTGAGAGAATTCTGCACCCGCATGTGCATCAGGCTTTAAAGGGAGACCCTGCTACCATCTCCACCTGCAGCTGCCAAATACAGACCCCAATGTAGGTGAAGTTTTGACTACTCAAAACACATATGAGCACCAAATACCGTTAGAGGCATGACGAGCAAGTCAGACCAGAGGCCGGCTCTGCACAGCTGATGGGGGTGAGGGAGAGAAGACAGGCTTATACCAAGCCCCTGGCCTGAACGAGGGGAGGGGGCAGTGTCTAGAGGCGGCTGCTGAGACAAGCTGGGTCTGCCCCCACCTGTGTGGGACATGGATCTTATTTTGAGCATAAATGGGATACAGTGGAGGGAAATATTGTAATTAAAGGAGGAAACTGAAGCTCAGAGAGAAGAAATTTGTCTAGGGTCACACGGCCAGTAAGTGGCAGAGCCAGGCTTCCACCCTATCTTCTGGTGGGCTCAGCTTTCACCGCTGACACTGAGCCAACAGCATTTACACAATGTCCAACTATATGCACCAGAAGCGATATGTGCAGTACATCACCTCAGACTCAGTTTACCCACTTCTTGATACACACCTTCTGGTCCCCAGCTGAGCCTGCTGGCTCCAAACCCATCCCTGTGGTATGGCCTCCCCAGCACCAGGCAGCAGGACCCCAACACTTGACTGTGATCACTTCTCACACCCCTTCAACCTTACACCGCACAGGTTCATCTATCTGATCTTCACAACTGGTTGCAGCAAAATCAGAGCCTATTTTACAGATGGGGACAATGAGGCTTGATGAAGCAAGCAATGACTGACCAGACTCTCTCAGAGCCCAAGGACACAATGTTCACAATTCCCCTGTCATCTTGCACCGTTGCCATGGAAATGACATTCTCTCTTCAGATGCTCTTCAGATGAGGCAGTGGTCCCGGGCCCCTGCCTGCCCACCTTTACTGTCTTAGCTCCTCCCTTTGCCCTTCTTGCCTCCTGTGTGTCTGTCCACTCAAAGCCTTCACTCCTGCAGCTCCACGGTTGGGGAGCTCATCCCACTCCCTACCCTATCCAGTCCCCCCAGCTTCAGATGCCAGAGCAACAGTCCCTCCTCTGGGAAGCCCTCCCCATGCTGTCCCCTTCAGAGTGTCCATCTGCCATCGCTACACATCCTCCCCAGCTCCTGCTACAGTGGCCATTCCCCTTTTGTTCCTATGACTAAAGTCCATGCAGGAGGCAATGGCTATGTCTAGCTCAGGTTCCCATACTGTGCCAGGCATGTGGTGGGTTCTTGATACATGTGGGTCAGTAAGTAGACTGGCCAAAGCCCCTTCAGATGGGCACCTGCTCTGACTGTGGAAGGCCAGGGAGGGATTCCAAAGCTATAAATGACGCCAACAGCTTTGTAAGAGTTCCAAAGAACTGCAGCAGAAACACCCACCCTCAGAGCCTCAAAACAGTTCAGGTCAGTGAGGTACAAACCAGGCCCACTCTTACCTAGGGAGGCCAGCCTCCCCAGAGCCCGCCTTTCTAGTGCACTGAACAGAAGTCATGTGCTCTCAGCCCAAAGTTCCAGAGACACAGCTTCTGCAAACACACTGCAGGAAGGGGCCTGAGCAAAGTGCCCCAGGTAGGCCCTGCTTCCCTCTGCTGCCCAGCCTTACAACCTCAGAGGAACTGGGTGCTGGACTAGGATAGCGTGAGAGTGCCTTCAGAGGGGTGAGGTTATTAAACCAGAAGGTTCTGTCTCTCCCAGAGAATGCAGGGTAACATCATACAGGAAGGAAGGGCCCGGCATGGCTGAGGATGCATCCCCTAAGCACACGGTAAACTGAGGCAACAGGCATCAGGGTCAGGGGTAAGGTGAGTGAAGGTAGGAAGCTCCCCTCCAACATGACCCTGAGAGCTCAGCCTCCCTAAGGCCCACAATTCTTACACATAAAGCAGGAGTCATGTGCTCTCAACCCAGGAGGGTAAAAAGTCACCAAACCACGAGAACTGACAGCCCCAGGACATGGTGCAGAGTAAAAGCCCAAGGTCACCCAGCTGGTTCCCACTCATGTCTGTCGCACATGCAGGACCGCTCCATGGGATCTCCTGGCTGTGGTCTTGGCAGAAATACGCTGATATCTGAGGTGCTGCTGGGTGGGTGCAGACTGTCAGCCTTTGCATAACAGGGGAGCACAGACTGTTTGCCTCACCCCCAGACCTGCTACCCAGTGTGCCAGGGCCTGCTCCCCAGTGTGCACCCCAGGACCTGTTCTCCAGTGCACACCCCAGGACCTGCTCCCCAGTGCACACCCCATGGCCTGCTCCCCAGTGCACACCCCAGGACCTGTTCTCCAGTGCACACCCCATGGCCTGCTCCCCAGTGCACACCCCATGACTTGCTCCCCAGTGTGCACCCCAGGACCTGCTCCCCAGTGTGCACCCCAGGACCTGTTCCCCAGTGCACACCCCAGGGCCTGCTCCCCAGTGCACACCCCAGGGCCTGTTCTCCAGTGCACACCCCAGGACCTGTTCTCCAGTGCACACCCCAGGACCTGCTCCCCAGTGCACACCCCAGGACCTGCTCCCCAGTGCACACCCCAGGACCTGCTCCCCAGTGCGCACCCCATGACCTGCTCCCCAGTGCGCACCCCAGGACCCGCTCCCCAGTGCGCACCCCAGGACCCGCTCCCCAGTGCGCACCCCAGGACCCGCTCCCCAGTGCGCACC